TTCCCACGTCATTCCCTTCTTCATCGGGATCATCGATTCCTCTCACCCCATGAACATTCCTAACACCTAATCGTACAACGAGTTGTCCATGTACTTGACTGTTAGACTGCCCGTAAAATACAGAGTTCTGACTTCTATCTCTGCCTCTGGCAGATACTTGACGGTCCTATCAAGAAGGAAAACCGTACTAGAGACACCAGTTAACTTATCACCGGGAACCAGATCTCTTTTCACTACAACCGTGTTGCAGCCACTGTCTCTCAGTACGGTGACCGGTCGAACACCCACTTCTCCCCTCACCACTGGCATATTATCCACCAGAAACCGTGGAGCCTTTCCGGGTGCCGCATTTACTATCGGTATTTGTCCTCCGTTTCGCAGTACGATTATGTCTCGTCTGGATTTTTGCTGTCAGCGATTGTTAGCATACAGGATGCCTGAGGAGTCTTGCTACCTTTATCTTCTGGCTTCCAGTTACACGCATCTGATCTGTGTTTTGGCTTGCAGCCCCTCCAGCACGCAGATCCGTGTTGAGCTCGGGAACTGGTCCAGAATTCTGCGGCTTTATGTCCAGGATTGTTGCAGAGGAAACATCGACTCACTCCCTTGGTGGGAACTTTCAGTCGACTATCTTCTTTATTACTACCTCTACTCTTATGGCTTAAGTCCTATTCTTTCGAGTTAGACAAACTAGATTGGCCTTGCGCTCCCAAAAAAATGGTCCGCAGTTACCACCAAACTCTCGAGTGTTTTGCAGTCTCTTTTCCTTCAAAAATATAGACCGTTTTGCGCTACATCTTCTTAAGAACTGCTCTGCGACCATGCGATCTCTGAGCCCTTCGCATGTCTTAATGGTGTCACCCGTCTCAAGCTGTCGGTCGAAATAACTGAGGAGCCGAGCTGCGAATGTCTCCCAGTCTCTGCCTGTTCTGGCCTGCTTTGACGAAATTTTTCCCGGTAACCTTCTGCCGTGTAGCGGAACCACTAAAGCAGGCTAAGCTTTACTTTTGAATAGTCCAACGACTCTTTGAGCGTCATCCTTCCAACGACCGTTAAGGCCTCACCGGTGAGGCAAAAACGTAAAGACATCGCACACTTTTCTTGGGGCCATTCCTGACTGCTCGCCAGACGCTCGAAACGTCGGATGTAAGCATCTAGGTTGTTCCTTTTGACATTGAACGGTGGGATTAATTTATGGGGGCTGCGATGGAATGTTTGCCTCCCTGGGATTTCACCACTGCCAGTATACCGCGGATCCAAATCTCAAGCTAAACTGTTGTTTCCTCGCAACTGAAGACGCATCTGCAGCACCGCCTGTTCTTGTTGGAATCTGTGAGCTTCTCTGTCAGCCGCTTCCTGCACCTTCTTAGCTGCCTCTCTGGCATCTTCTCTCATCCTGACCCGTTCTTCTTTCTGTCTGACTATTTTTTTTCGACCCATTCGCGGAATTCTGTTCCGGCATACCCCAGCTCTCTCCCGACTGATAGCAATTTATCGGGATTCATACTGTAATCCTTCTTACAGCACCGTCTGGAATTCTGCGCTCTATATGGTGTTAAATAGAAAGAGTCCTGTCGCGTACGCAAGATTGTGATGGAAAAATAATAATTAAAGGGACTCGGAATTCTAGAGTGGTGAATATAAGAAGGTAGATATTATTTACAGTCGTATGAACAAGAAGTTAGAAAAAAACGGTGTGAATATATATACAAAGTCCAGTTCGACGGATCCGCTTACAGCACTGCGTTGCACGTCGGTGTTGGAATGGCGTTTGTCTTGTCCTGGAAATGCTCGGCGGGCTCGCTAGGCGCAGGTGGAGGTTTCTCAGCAAGCTTGGGTTTAAAGCCCCCCGGGCCTGGACTCGTCCGTCCGGGCTCTTCCTTGGCTGCCGGGACCACCGCTGTCGGGTCAGGTTCCGCGTCGTGCCCGCCCTTATCTCACGTGTCACGAGCGTGTGTCATCTTCCTTTCCCGTCGTTGTCTTCCCTTTTTCATTGTATCCACCTCCTGCCTTGCGCTCTTCCTCTTCTAGTTATTCACATCTTCACCACGTTCAATGCGTCTTCTTCCTCGCCCTTTGCTTAGTCTGCAGTGGAGGTTTCTCAGCAAGCTTGGGTTTAAAGCCCCCCGGGCATGGACTCGTCCGTCCGGGCTCTTCCTTGGCTGCCGGGACCACCGCTGTCGGGTCAGGTTCCGCGTCGTGCCCGCCCTTATCTCACGTGTCACGAGCGTGTGTCATCTTCCTTTCCCGTCGTTGTCTTCCCTTTTTCATTGTATCCACCTCCTGCCTTGCGCTCTTCCTCTTCTAGTTATTCACATCTTCACCACGTTCAATGCGTCTTCTTCCTCGCCCTTTGCTTAGTCTGCAGTGGAGGTTTCTCAGCAAGCTTGGGTTTAAAGCCCCCCGGGCATGGACTCGTCCGTCCGGGCTCTTCCTTGGCTGCCGGGACCACCGCTGTCGAGTCAGGTTCCGCGTCGTGCCCGCCCTTCTCTCACGTGTCACGAGCGTGTGTCATCTTCCTTTCCCGTCGTTGTCTTCCCTTTTTCATTGTATCCACCTCCTGCCTTGCGCTCTTCCTCTTCTAGTTATTCACATCTTCACCACGTTCAATGCGTCTTCTTCCTCGCCCTTTGCTTAGTCTGCAGTGTTGCTCAGTCCAACTCAGTTTTCAAGTGCGTTGTTTTCCTCATCGTTGGTTCTCCCACATCCTCACAACGAGTAGGATATCTTGTGGCTCTGTTTTGGTTGTTGGAGCATCATAAAATTTCACGCTGTGTTTCATGGGAGTTACTTCAGCTGTAGAAATTACTTTAGCATTCAACTAATTCTATACTTTTCAGGAATAAAGAAAAAAAAACTAAGATACGTTTGTCACTGAAACCCATTACATATTACTGTATAACTGCAAATTTGTTTATCAAAGAACGTATTAGTTTCACACAAAAATTTTATTTAGTTGCGGGACCCTCGGATCCACCTATTCATCGAGCCAGCCATGTTTTCAAGTGTTGATGACGACATCTGCCTCGTGTCTTTAGTGTCCCTAGTCAGCCCCAAACTGCGAGGCGGTGCTACTCGCAGATCTCTTATATGCACTTCCAGCGTGGATCAGAAGGCGCCCAGGCGTCCTTCGCCCCAACGTGCTCTTTTACCCCACTTTTCTCTTTAAAGTTTTGGGCAATTGGAATATCTGGCACAGCTTGCTCCTTCCAATTCAACTTAGCTTTTGGGGGGATACGGCAGAGGTAGAAACAGGTACAGAGCCTGAGTAACGGACAAGCGTGGCGTGGCGAATGTGGGTAGAGAACAACGAAAGAAAGAGTGTTCAACGTCTTAGTCATAGTCACGTGGTTCACGGACGAACCGCCGTCGCCGCAGTAGGTAAACTACGTCAGAATTGTGTCAAGGTAGCCTGGCCGCCAGATAAAAATCACGAACATTAAAAAATATCTTTATAATTATTGGAGCCTTAAATATTCTGAAATGTTTTGTTAATGTCCAGTATCCTATGGTGCTGTCATGTAACAAATATTCTAACTTGCCTCATTTTTGTGCCCATGACCTTTTCAAGTAATTTCATTTACGTTTACAGCTTTGTTAAATCACACTGGCACCTGCAGTGCACTTATGTGCAACTCATAGTTCGCAGATATCGGGAGGTTTAGTTTGTCATCGCATTATATTCAGAACCTTACCACAGTCCACTTGTTTTTTGTTTTCCAGGTGCCGTAGTTGTTCATATGGACTTGATTGCTCTGGAAGTTTCACTAATTAATTCTCAGGAATAAGGGTATGCAGGTGTTTACCTACTACTGCATCGTGTGTGCACTTTCTTGAATTTTCTTACTAACATGGTGTTGAAGCACCTGCGTATTTCTGGGAGGTGCTCTTGGCAGTAACCACTGAAATTAACTTGCGACAGCAGGCTTGAAGAAACTCAGCAACTCATTGAATTTGGGAACTCCTTTTTCAAAGGCATTTTTCAATTTTATCTTGCTAAAATGGTTTCGTAATGTAAGTCACAAGTTGGTTTCACTGTCTAGTGCCCGCCAGAATTAAGCTGAGGTTCCTGCATTGCACTTACGTGTAACTCATAGTTTGCAGAAATCGGGAGGTTTATTCTGCCATTGCATACTGTAAAAAACCTAATCACATTTCACATCTTTTTCCCAGGTTCTGTTGTTCTTCATATGGACTCGACTGCTCTGGAAATTAGAGATTTCCTTCCACATGAAAGCTGGACATGGCCCACTAATTATTTCTTAAGAATAAAGGTGTGGACATGTTTTACTGAGTACTGTATCTTGTGTGCACGCCCTTGAAATTTCTAACAGTGTTTAATCACCTGTTAATCTGTGGGATGTGCAGCTGGTGTTAACTCTTGAAAGTAACTTGGCCCCACAGCCTAATTACATTCCATGGGCACTCGATATTTAATTTGAATTGTTCCCGGCATCAAAAATTAGTTAGCGTGTAGTCTGTAACTTGCGGCCGCAGAAAGCTGTAACTCTCAATCACTGAGCTGCATGTCATCCGTAACGACGGGAAACGTTCCGACATTAAAAATTAGCTGGCGTGTTGTCCGCACCTTGCAGCAACGGCCAGAGTCTGGTGAACTGCTAGCTGCAGTGATTTAAGAAAACGGACATCTCAGTGAACAATAAATGCAGCAGTAAAATGCTATATTGTTCACTGAGATTGAAACTTGTACTCCCGGAGCTTGTACTTCGAAGAAGGCCAGAGTTTTTTCTTATCAACAGGTGAGGTCGACTGAGAAATATTCCGTGCGTTCATGATCAATATCAGAATGGGCTGATTTGAATTTACGTCAAAGGACACAATTGACCATCTAAAGCCTACGTTAGTTGCCGCTTACTAAGTAACGTGAAAAAAGAAACTAGAACAGTTCAATGTTGCCTTGTGCAATTATAGTGCTGAATGAATAATAACGGCGAGTTTTCGAAAATAATTCAAACAATCCAATGGTCAAACGTACCACGTTTTGAGCAATTTGGAGTGTTTATTTTTAACACATGTGTTTTCGATTTCACGGCAGATTCGTTGCTATGACCTTTTGTAGTATTGTGCGTCTTGGTTTCGGGACCGGTCTGGACGTTGAAGATCACGGGAGAGCTGAAAGTAAAGAGAGTACTTTATCATTTTTTTTTGTTTTAATGCATCACAAATTATAAACAGCTCTCACACCTGATTTCATTTGAATCGGCGAGTTCAATGGCAGTTTAAATTTTATTTATAAATCTATTAGCGCGACATAATGTCCCTGAATTCATGTCAACACTCCACAAAACTTGTGCTAAAGATTTAAGTCTTTATTATTGTCGAAGTATTTGCGACCTCTCTCACGCCTTATGAAGATGACAACCTTGGGAACTTTTTTTCTCGAGTGGGTTAAGAAATTGAGCAAAGGAAGATAAATGTCCGATGAAACAAAGACTGATAATTTTTTTTATGTGTGGGCTTTTTGCACTGTTCACAATGTCAGAAGTAGCAAAGGTGATTTTCCAAAACTTCGAGGCATAGTGTTCGGTTATTTACGTAAAGGCTTTAATCAGATCAAACTAATTTGACATCCATTTCCACAAAATGTCAGTCCCGCCCCCCTTTGTCACCGCCTTACTACGAAAATTTGTTGGGACTAGCTTTCAACACCCAACTCGCCGCCCCCCCGCCCCCCCCCCCCCCCCCCTTATCTAATAAGGTGGAACCATAAATACTTTCCAAATCCTGCAGTCTCTAGCAGTCCACAGGCATATAGCAGAAGCACTTTAAGTTTGGAGCATTCGCGAGCACGTATAGAGTCCACGGTAGTGCCATGTAGTGCATCTGAACGAAACTTTCTTTTGCGTGAATAGACAAAACATAATGCCTGACAATAGATAGCTTACCATGACTGATAGTTCACCTTATATATCTGATGAAGCTTGTTTAATAAGAAAAAAAAGCTAATGTGTATTATGACGATTTGCTATTAGTTTGGGTGAATGTAACTATAATAATTACCAGTAATGTATGGAATAAGTCAGAAGACGAGGTTAGCCGAAAAATCCGCCGCCGAGGCCGCCGTAGTGGCCGCCGTAGGATCCACCGTAGCTTCCACCGTAGCTTCCTCCATAGTGACCACCAAATCCGTGCCCGAAGCCGCCCAGACCACCGAGGCCGTAGCCGCCGTAGCCGCCGAGACCACCGAGGCCGTAGCCGCCGTGGCCGCCAAAACCACGGCCGCCGAGGCCGTAGCCGCCGAAGCCACCAGCAGCGGCGACGGCGAGAATGACGCAGAGGACGGCAAGGGAAAGCTGAAATAACAAGCACAGGGAATTCGTTCGATTCATTTTCATATAGTTTGAGCGCTGAATGAAGGTAACATTTAAATTAGTCGCCCTACTTAAAACTTTCCGGTTAGAACGTGGCAGACCACCTAACACATTACAAACATACCGCTACGCATGCATAAAGCGGTTTATTAATAATTTAAACAAGAATAGACACTGCATTCTCACATGTAAACATACATTTTCGAAGGAAGATGTCGTTCAGCTACTTATTAATTAAATGCTATCTGAAATGACCCAAAGTTCAATACGGCGTGCAAGTACAGAGCGCGACACTGTTAGCGCGAACAAGCGATCGCCGGTTTTTTCAATTTTTCTCTTTGAAACCAAGGGATGTCATCCGAGTTATTATTGCTACGGAAAGAGCTTATTTAGTTCTATAATGTAAGCGAAAACATTTCGTGCTCGCTAATATTATTTAGAAGTAAAATGCGAAAATGCGCCGATGTCGTGTTCGCGCTAACAGTGTCGCGATGTGTACGTCTGCTCTTTGCGCAACTGGTGTGTTCGTTTACACACTAGATGCCCCCATTTGCTTTTGTTTGCCCCGACCGAAATGAATAATAAAAAAAAAAAAAAAAAACTGGGAGGACTCTTAAGCTTTGACTTTAAGAGTGGGACGCGACAGCGTTATCGGGTTCCGTTCACATCGCCTTCTCATTCGCTTCCCATGCTCGGAGACGAGAGTGCGCTCCGAGATCCGAAGACGCTACAACATCTCCGGATCGTCCTGTCGCTGCTGTCGCCTCAGTTCGGCTTCACGGGCACGCATACGAACTCGCGCTCTCTCCCAAGCTGTCTTCAGCCGGTGGGTCGTGGGTTTAAGGCAAATGCATTACTTTATAGAGTGAAACCATTTGAGACACGCGTCGACCTTTTTTTTCACATAGCATGTGATGTTTTAATTGATTTCATTCAAGGCGTGACGTCACGTTTCACGTGAACGTTGTGGGTTGTTTGAAATTCCCACGCAAGATTATGTGGCTGTGACGTCATGATCCTATCGACCAATCCTGGATTTTAGTGCACGCCACCGACGGCGGCTTTTCGGCGACACGAACTCCTTAACGCTATCAAGTTAAAAAAAAAGTATTTTGCTCTGGATAGTTCCCTAATATTTTAGCCAGTTTAGGGCGGCATATGATACCAAAATTTAAATCGATCAAGGAACCCTGGAGCAATCAAACTGAGTAGGTGTAATGCAGCCATTACAAAACATTTGCTGATCTTTTCGCTTTGGTTTATTTCCCGACCCTAAACTATTCTGGTGCTCTAATTCCTGCAGCTATGGAACTGTTTATCCATTTAGCTATTTAACGTAGCATTGATATTACAAGTTATATGTATCCCATATTTGGTGACAAGATAAGAGTTCTGGAGAAGCTCCTCCCACCTCTTTCCACTTTAGCAGAGCGAACGCTAGAGAGGGTGTCACCTCCTCTCCAGCGATCGCTCTGCTAAAGTGGAAGGAGGTGGGAGGAGCTTCGCTTGAACTCTTTACCCGTCACCGATTATGACCTGTTCTACGCATCACGAAAACAAAAATAAACTGGAAACTTTTGATTAAAATGGTTTGCTTTTTAGAATATCTGCTGTAAATATATAGCTATGCCTACACTGTTCATAATATTCTGAAGATAATCGATGAACCTTGAACTGAAGTCCCTGAGGTTACACAAGGAATATCGATATGACGATTAAAGTAATAAATGGTAAAAATGCATTTATTAGAAAGCGTAACTTTTCATATGAGTCTGTTAAACACCATAGAGGTATCAAAATTTGCCTTGACTCACCACGGCCTTCATGGTGCGGGTCGGTTGAGGTGCCTAAGTGGAGTTATTCCAAGACTGGTTGTGGTGGCTTCAGAAAACGGCAAGCCCTTTTTATACTAGTTCCACTTATTTAGGATCATGGGCGGAGTTCTGAGGCTATTGGCAATTAAATATTCCTTTTGTATATCACGAGTTGCGAAAGGAGTGGCTTGCATGATATTATACGTCTTAGTACGACTTTGAATGCAAAAATAGATTCTACTTATCTGTTGGTTGAACTGAGAAAGCCCAACAAAAGTGTGTTCACAATCGTAAGGTGAACTATTTGCGTGCCATGCATGATTTCTTTCTTCGATCATATATTCCGTAAGGTCTGCGTGTTCTGCTGCGAATTCTTAATGTAATCTTAGGATATAGAATGTGAGTCTCCAATAGAGGAAGATTCTCAACAAGTACTTTTAAACACTGGTAGGAAAAGTGCTAAGCAAAAAATAATCAAATGTGTTTGACTTAATCAGGGGAGTATGTAGTACACGAACATTCGGCTGCTTTGCACATATCTAGTGCCGCAAATGTGAAGGTATTTCAGTAAAAAAGTATTGCCTCTAGGAGTAGGAGCTAACATGCAAACAGACACACACACAAAAAAAAAAAGACATTAACATCGCGCAAAACGTTGCAAAGTCCTGACACCTGGTTGTGCTTTCGGGTTCACAGTGTTCATTCCTGCTAGAATACAATATCGAGTTATTTCAATTGATTTTGTAAATCTTTTGTTATATTGTATACAGGTTTTTGTTAAACCGAGTTATAAACCTTGTTTTGCACATGTGGTAAGGAAAACGTTCTATGCTGTCGAAGTCTGGCAACCTCGGGTGCGTACCGTCTTGAAGATGAGAGGATGCATATGCAGAGGTACCCCAGAATAAAAGTACAACGACTCCGATGGGCCGCAATGTCTATTTTAAAGAACAACTCGGTCGGAATTGGTTGACTAGAAGTCAGTTGGTTCGTATAGGAAGTTATATACTACCACAATGTTCTATAGCTATAGTTCTTCAAACTAAGTCCTCTGCCTGTATATTAACAATATAATCAATACCTTAGATAACCGTTTTATTTGTCTTTTTACTCTTACCAAGATGAATCTCGAGTGCAAACACACAATTTTCTCATATGCACCATGCTATACAATGGTGTCTCACTACGTTTGCAATGTTGCGGGACTTAAGGTCCGTTCATAATGTCAGTTTGGCAACGCTTGACAACATTACAACTATGTGACTAGTTACAACTGGAACTACTAAATATGTTTTCAGAGTACCACATATTGTGGTCTTTTCCGAGAGTTTTTTTGCTTATGTTTTGTTTCGTGTCCTATCATCGCACCGCACTCGCCTTTTTCCTTGGCCGAGAAAAACCAGCACTATAGACTAGCTGTCTAGGAAATCTCTCCTACACTACTTAGAGAGAAAGCCAGAGTGCGGAATTTTTTACGTCCCCTACTAAGGGTCACCGCGAGTCACAGATTCGACACCAGTGCTCTTTCTCAGCGTTTGGCAGGAACTCGTACGTGTCCTAACTGATTAAAAGCGAGTTACATCCGAACAGTGACGTCGCGCAAGAAGAGATCAAGCGGGCTGAGATTTTAAGCCCGACCTGACCCGACTCGACCTTACCTGACCCGACTTGATAACGTCCTGACCCGAACCCGGCCTGAGTCCGACTATGGTTTGTAAACGTCGACCCGTGCCAGACCCTATCGATAAGTATATCGTCCCGAACCCGGTCCGAGCCCAACTGTTATTTTTAATATGAGTCTGATCAGAACTCGGTCGGGACCGAACTTTTCTTTAACGCAGAAGGCGTTTCATCGTGACTGCCTCCTACAATTTGCGGATACGAAAGTGCGTCATCCTTGGGGACGGATGTGACCGTTATGGTGAAATTCGCTGGAGAAACAAACAAAAAAATGGAGAGGAAATGGCCTTCTAGATAGAATCCGGAACCTCTTCGTTGTGAATCTGACGCTGACCCTACTGAAAAAAACCATTTGAAATTCAAACGGGTGGCAAACTGGTCGCCCGTTTGAATCAAACCTGTCGATTCGTTTGGATCAAACGTGATTATGGGATACGGGTACCTGTTTGGAAACGGTACCCGTTCGAAACGGTACCCGTTTGATACAGGTGCCCGTTTGATACGGGTGCCGTATGGTACGAGTGCCCGTTCGACATGGCACGTGACCACACGTTTGAACGTGCCCTTCGAAATGGCAAATTATGCGCTAGCCCTAAATGGGTATCGTCTGGGAGGTTGGTTATCTTAAACATATTTAAGACGTCCCGAAACTCATAAACGTATTTATAACATGGAGAAAACACGTAGAACAAATGCACTCGCGTAGGTGCTTGTAAGTGGACAGGAAAACCGACACAAAAGATTGTTTTCAATTCTCCTCGAAGTTTATTACCTCTTCTGTAGACAAGTACAAACGTGCAAGCGATCTGTGAACACTATACAGGTAGACTTTCGGGGAAATTATTCTCCTGGCTGCCGCGCGAATAGGTGCTGCATAATTTTTTAGATAATTTAGAAGAGTACGCGTAGAAGAACGGTCAATCGTTGCCAACACGTAGGTTGCAGTGCACTTACCATAACAATAGCGGACTTGAAAGAGGTAATCCGTGATATTTGTCGACACGGTCAAAGCAGGACAACCACACAAACACAAACGAGAGGGAACGGCTCCTTGGAAGTTTCAACACGATGCGGCACACAAGCTGTCATTTGCCGAACCCAACCAAACCGCGAGAATTTGCGACTTCTTTGAAGAATCGCTCGTTGCCGACATACACGTGGGTCTTTTCGAACATTGATAACTTTGATGCACATCCAATACGTTGTCGAGAGACATCCCAATAAGACCGCAGGGTTAGGCGACAGATTGAAGCAGGCAGGACGAGCGAACTTCGAGCAGCAACTGACAACAAGCAGACAAAAAAAAAAGTGGCTGCAAGGCGCGCCCTTCCGGATCTCGATGCTTATCAGCGTGTAGCTCGCGCGCTGCTGTGGGTCACGTGACAGGGGTGACAAGAGAGGAGGGAGGGGGCGAGGTCAAGGCGCTGGGACCACCGGGACAGCCCCTCTCCCTCTCCCCAGGCATTCCAGGGAGATGCGTTTTTGTAGTCCCGAAGAACAAACGCGCGCGCGCGCGCGCGCTCGAACTTTGGAAATGGCGGCGGGGCTGCCAGAAGCTCGGCTTGCGCCCGAGCGAAGAAAGAACTCAGCGCAAGCTCGTAGTTTGAGTGCTGCAACGGCGGGCGTGCTCTCGCAATGCTCGATGTTCTTGCAGCCGCGTGTACGCGTGCTACCTTCGCTGCGTCTTGAATTAAAGTGAAACGGAGTCTAGACGTACATTCTTTCACGCGGTCGCGTCTTCTGCGAGAGAGATTCGAGCTGAATAAGTAAATTGAGGCAACAAAGATGGACAAAGTATTAAAGGTCTGTAAAAATATCGGCTCACCAACGTCGCGCGTTTACGTAAAACAAAAAAAAAAAAGGTGTAGTTTTAGTTGCAGTATAATCGAAAATCAGCGCAATTGAAATATAAATATAATTACTTGCATTACGCGGACGATCTGAAATCGATGAACCGGCGCTCCCAGCCTTCCGGAAAACATTGGCTGCCACGGCTGAAACGCTAGGCGTGCCCACGCCGCCGATCTGTACGTTCAATATCAAACGGGCTCCGGAGAGCCGTTTGATTAAACCGGTGCAGTTTGCAACATGGTCGCCGGTTTGAGCAAACGTGCGACAACTTTGCCCAAACGAGTCGCCCATTTGCCCAGACGAGCGACCCGTTTGCCAAATAGGTGACCGTTATGGCTCATACGGGGGACCCCTTTGAGCCATACGGGCGACCCCTTTGACAAACTGGCGACCAGTATGGTTAAACGGTTACCGGTATGGACCCGTTTATTTTCATATGGGCGCCAAATGGTTTTTTTCAGTAGGGGAATGAACCACTGGGCCGTACCTGAAGGATGGGGAGGCAAAGTTCAATGTTGTTTGTAAGTTGATCGTGGTCTAGAAGAGGCTTCGCCATCGCGAAGCCTCTTCTTGATCACAGTCGTGGATAAGAGAGCGCTACTAACACATTTAAATGTTAGTAGCACTGCCTCAGCCACGATTATGGGGTAAAGGCCCCTCACAGTCGGCCACTGATTTATGAGTATAAAACTCAACCTTCCATTTCTATGGCACGCGGACGAAATTTTCTGCCGGTTAGAATTACACCCGTTGTAACTACAACAACATTTTTAATTTGCTACCACAAGCTGTGATTATAATGACCTCGTGGATATCAAAAGACGGTTTATTTGCCAAATATTTTTTTTTAGATTTAGCAAGGTCGGGTTGCCAGGCTTCCATCTCGGCCCGACCCGAGCCCGACGCAGCTTGAAATAAAAAGGCTCGCGCACGACCGGAACCCGAACGGACAGCCATTTCGGGTTCAGGTTTTCAGGCTTGCCCGACCCAGTGCAGATATCCAAGCATATGTGTCTGACGTAGATAACCCAGCACTGCGATATCTAGGTGATGTCGATGTTGACGGCGCATGAAAACGATAAGGAGAATAGGCCAGCACATGTACCTTACTCTCTCGCAACCTGCGCAGTCGCGCGATAAGAAGAGGACGGCACGTGTACCCAATGCTTCCGCACATGCTCATGCGTTTCGATGTGTTGACAAAAATGATTTGGGGGTGAGTTAGAGAAGCGCTATCGCACTTAGGAGGGAAATTCACCTCGCAGTAGATAAGATAAGTGAAAGGGCGGTAATGAACACAAAACTACGTGCGTGATTCTTTCCATTTGCGAATAAATCAATAGCGCCCTGGCAATTGTACTAGGTCCGTGTTTTATATATCACCCTGTGAGTATTTCCCAATTATTGGTCACAACAAAAGTCTCCTTTTGTTGATACAGTCCTTAATGTTGGTATTTGTTGTGTCCTTTATTTCCTATTGA